TCCACAAACCAACTCCGGGCTGAATGGTAAGCTGGACTAAAACATCCACAAACCAACTCCGGGCTGAATGGTTAGCTGGACTAGAAACATCCACAAACCAACTCCGGGCTGAATGGTTAGCTGGACTCGAAACATCCACAAACCAACTCCGGGCTGAATGGTTAGCTGGACTCGAAACAGCCACAAACCAACTCCGGGCTGAATGGTTCAGTGGTATAAGAGATGAAAGACAGATGTGCTCCTCAGACGAGTCCTATGATGTTACTGACCAAAACTGATTTCTTAGTGCTAAGTTTCATGGGAAATATGCAAATGACTTCTACTGTTACTCGTTGTGCACCCATTTGGGCTAATTTCATATTAATTAATAAACCAAATTACTGAAAATACATAAATCACATATCCTAAATAAATTGCTTGAACACATATCAACGTTATCAAAACAGATCAGTAGAAATCATCAAAAATAATACAGATTAAATAGCGCCTTTAATGACGAACTTTACTCAGCTCACAAGTAATATTTCACAGTCAGACAGTGTTAACAATAGTATTTTACAAAAATCTTAGTAACTTGGACTAAATAATTTAGTTCAGTTTTCAAATTATATCCCGAATTAAAACAAAACAAAACAACATAGGTTTGTATTCCCTTCTCAGTAAAATCCTTAATCCGCCTCTGAGGTGTAACATGGTTGTTCACTCCGTTCTATGGTCTACTTCCAGAGGGTTTTGTATGTTTTGTTTACCCGTGTCCAGTCGCTCGTTGAACCTACCGGACTGACCATGCCAATAGCAATGTCATCCTCATTAATATTTATGAGCAATGAAAAACTCGTTTTTTCAGTTAAAATTGTGCTAACATTTATTCCGATATCCAACACAGTAGTTCTGAATTGAATGATTCTATCGTTATAAGCTGAAAAATTATTACAAAACTGATGTAAAAGTGTTTTTGAGACATTTTTTCAATTACAATTCAACAAGCTGTAAGTTTGATCTCTAACATGATCATAACTAGCTACGACATTTATGGAGATTGTAGAAGTATTTCACTCTAGTACTATAGCTCAAAACTGCGCATATTAACCTTTATGAGTTCTAAGTATATTTCAATGTTTCTATGTTTCGTTGAGAATTATTCAATCTATTTGTGAAACGTCTTAGGCCGCCACCTAAGGAAGACTGACTTCCAAACGTCCCACCGTGCCAATCCTCATGGTCATCTCAGAAGAGGCCTGATAGTTGCCGAGAAGTATGGGATATATTTTCACGTTTATTCGAATACAAGCCGCCATTCTGTTTGGCTGGTTCCCACCTCAAGTGTCAAGACGCACTAAGCCACAAGACGCCGGTAACTACTAATATCAATGTGCCTCTGTATTCTTCATGAATTTCATAACTTGCTATGATTACGTTAAAGAATAAACCCGTAGTTACCTTGTGGTTACTTTCAACAATTTGTTGACCTCTGATCAAAAACGTGTCTCAAAAACACTTTTACAACTGTTTTTCGGGTATTTTTCAGCTCATAAGTCAATTTAGAACCATCATGTATGCTATCGGAATACATTTTAGGCCAATTTTACTGAAAAGGGATTTTTTCATTGCTCATGAATATTTATTTATGCAAATGATACGATTATTTCAACCAATCGTGTCATACACCCCTCTCTGGTTACGGCATTACGTTCTCATTCTTTGTTTTATTTCCTTTGGTTACCTGACGTCAGTGCTTACCCAGGGGTTTCCTTTAGCTTTCAAAAGTTTGTTATCACTTTGCACAAAAATATCAAAAAATGTTAGAACCACCCCCAAAAATAAAGAATATATACGTATAACCTTTATGACTTTTTACGAAATAAATATGGTGATCTTCATAAATATGATATCATGCAACGGAAAGTATCTTTTGCTTTCAAAAGTTGCGTATAAAACTGTTACACAAACTGTTTCCCGACGTCAGCGCTTACACTCGGGAGCCCCTTTTACTCACGCCGGATTAACTATAAAGCTGGTCTCCAAACTGGCTTTTCGGCACACGTATGAACACGGTATATGGGTGTATGTATCACATACTCGATCGGAGAGGCTTATAGTATTGGCCGGGGTTTGTTGACTAATATATGTGACTTTGGGAGTACTATGGTTCAAGTTCACATGTACTTGTGTCCTTGTTGACGCCAGAATGAACCTAACTATTTACGATTTGG